TTTCTTGAGCAACCTGAAACGTGGTATTTAGTTGACAGTGGTAACCATCCTCAACCAGATCAAGCCAGGACGATATTTGCGGCATCACCAAAAACTCTCAATGAGCAGTACGCTGAACTCAGCAAGGAAACTACACCAATTAGCTACTATCACATGTCACTCTGGAGTTTGGACGAGCTTAAGGAATGTAGAGCCAATGTAGAGGATTATCATCCAATGGATGAAGAATTTTTGGAGGAGCTTTTTTACAAGTTGGGGGGAGTGCCAAGACAGGTTCTACAGTGTCCAGTCGATGTACTATCTGAAAAGCAAAAAGATATTAACCGCGCTAAAGACGCTGCGTTTTCCCGCGTCAATGCTGCCATTAACGCAGTCAGGAACCCAGCAGATCTTGTAGCGCTCTTTGCACGAGGAAAAGAAGCGAGTGAATTTAGTGGTCGTTTACTCCATAGAGTTCCCACTTCTGACCACCTCGGCTTCCACCTGGTATGGGCATCTCGTTGGGTCGAATCACGGATTATCGAGGAAATGAAAGATGACACTTGGCGCGATGTGTTGGCGAAACTTGTCAAACGCGGAGAGGATATAGATAAAGGCCCACTGTTTGAAGTCTATGCTCATCACTTATTTCGACGTGGTGATATTAGATTTCCCTTTAGGGATCTTCAGTCAGGCGAAACAGGATTTCTTGATTTTCCAGCAAACCCAGAAGTGGTGCATATCCGGATTTCAAATGAATTATCAGGGCTCACTCAAGCAGCTGACAAGTTGTTTGTACCATCTATAACCACCTTTCCGTGCATTGATTTTGCATTGGGGCCCAACAAGCTATTTCAGGTCACAGTATCAGAGAAGCATCCGATCAAGCAAGCACCATTCAAGGAGATAATTGAATATATTACTGGACCCTGCTTGAAGGGAGACCAATCAAAGTCGAAGGGAAGTGACGATACCATTTTCCTCTATTTTGCGGTGCCAGGAAACATATATGATAATTTTAAAGTTCAGAACTTTCTTACCTCCAAAGATACGGTCGTCAAGAATCCATATGTATGCTTAAAACATGTAAGACAGCGTGTCATAAAAATCGACATCGAAGCTGCATATTCAGGAGGAGCAGCCGGTACGAATCTGAAGAATTAAATCGAATACCAATCAAGTGGATGAAATTTTGTCTTTTTTAAAAAAAGCATTATACCCGTTCCTTGAGAATTTTTTACAATGGTTCATTCTTTATGAATGAAGCCATCATTATCCACTTACCTTTTAGACGAATAGATAGAGCGGTTTAATCCGTCCTCCCTTCTACTGGGGCATATAGAACTTTATAAAGCTGTGATCATTATGCGATCTTGTGTGCAAGAAAGGGCAGGATTTTGTGATACTATTATCAAAGAGTTTTGTAAAAACGGATAGAGATGAAGAATCCTGTGGAGAACCCAGTGAGAGTCTGATGATGAGACCCAAAACCATATTATTATCACCAGGACAGCTGGCATAGGAAATTATCCTTTCTCATATGCTTTGTCATCTGGATGCTTGCCACTTGCGAAAGACCTATCAATTATCATCATCCAGGGCGCCAAAACGTTTACCGGGAGCTAGGATGACAGCTCCACTCTAAAGACATAAATGTCGTTTTAGCCCCATGGTGCGTGCACGGGATGGCAACCTGTGACCAATGAGATCATATTAGTTGTATGTTCGGCCAATTCAGTGTCAGTATGTGAAGACGGTGCGTCTTGAATCTCTAGGCGTCCAGGGACATGGAATAAAAAAACATCAAGAATGTGGCCAAGGCTGCCACGCGATTGACCAAATATCGCACGAGTGTCTTGAAGTATGTCCGGACTTTTGCTTGATTATCCCATCTAGGAAACGATACTGCACTCTTGAACCTCAAGTCATCGAGAACTTCTCGATATTCCTTGAAGCTTTGCCAGTTCTCTTAACCCAAGCAGGATCATAAATACAAAAGCCTATCCCGCAAGGAACTATGCAAATTCGTGGTAAATCCTCTGATAAGCCCTCCAATCCATGAAAGAATGCTGATAATATTGGTCGCTTAGTGTCGTTGTTGTTAATACACTGGTATTTAGCCTCCCCTCCCCATATCCTGCGCCTCGTTCAAAACAACCAAAAACATAGAGTTGCTTTGATGCCGCTCCGAAAGGACTCTGATTAGATTGTCGAACCAATCTTGCAGGAGCTTGTCAAGGCAATTAAAGCCAACTCCACCAAGTAATTCTGCTACTTTTGTGAAGAGTGCTAGGAATAAATCTGTCCTGGATGGAACCGAGCTTCCTCAATGAACTTCTCCAAGGACCTGTGGACACACTTGCAATAGCATCCATTGGCTAGGCGTCATTCTACCTTCGGACAAGTAAAAAGGGTAAATTGATGAGCATCAAATATAAAACATAAAGGCACTTTTGCTTACGTTCTTCAAGGGGTATACGAAAACCAAACTGCGATTAACCGCCTATGAACGCAAGACACAGAACATTTGGTGAGATTATAAACAAGCGTGGATATCCCAGACATCAAGGACCTTTTCCTCCTAATCTCCCATCCGTCTAGCATGGCTCCCAAGGTAATTAATGTGAGAGGGAATGATTCTGGCGAGATTGATGCCCTCAACAGCATGTAGCATTAATATATCGAGAACTATGAATATACTGACGACACAATCCAATATTGTATCACATTTTACCGGTCAAGCGCGTGGCAGCCTTGGCCACATTCTTGATGTTTTTTTATTCCATGTCCCTGGACGCCTAGAGATTCAAGGCGCACCGTCTTCACATACTGACACTGAATTGGCCGAACATACAACTAATATGATCTCATTGATCACAGGTTGCCATTCCGTGTACGCACCATGGGGCTAAAACGACATTTATGTCTTTAGAGCGGAGCTGTCATCCTAGCTCCTGGTTAAACGTTCTGGCGCCTTGGATGATGATAATTGATGGGTCTTCCGCAAGTGGCAAGCATCCAGATGACAAAGCATATGAGAAAGGATAATTTCCTATGCCAGCTGTCCTGGTGATAATAATATGGTTTTGGGTCTCATCATCAGACTCTCACTGGGTTCTCCACAGGATTCTTCATCTCTATCCGTTTTTACAAAACTCTTTGATAATAGTATCACAAAAATCTGCCCTTTCTTGCACACAAGATCGCATAATGATCACAGCTTTATAAAGTTCTATATGCCCCAGTAGAAGGGAGGACGGGTTAAACCGCTCTATCTATTCGTCTAAAAGGTAAGTGGATGATGATGGCTTCATTCATAAAGAATGAACCATTGTAAAAAATCCTCAAGGAACAGGTATAGTGCTTTTCTTTTACAGGACGAATTTTCATCCACTTGATTGGTATTCGATTTAATTCTTCAGATTCGTACCGGCTGCTCCTCCTGAATATGCAGCTTCGATGTCGATTTTTATGACACGCTGTCTTACATGTTTCAAGTATCCAGGTATGTATTGCCTTGGCATCCTGACTATCGTTAATAACAAACTTCTGAACCTTAAAATTATCATATATGTAACCTGGTACCACAAAATAGAGGAAAATAGTATCATCACTTCCCTTCAACTTTGATCGGTTTCCCTTCGAGCAGGGTCCGGTAATATATTCAATTATCTCCTTGAATGGTGCTTGCTTGATCGGATGATCCTCTGATACTGTGACCTGAAATAGCTTGTTGGGTCCCAATGCAAAATCAATGCACGCAAAGTTGGGTGTAGATGGTAGAAACAAGTTGTCTGTTGTTTTGGAGAACGTTGAAAAATCTGCTATAGTCCTGGTAAATAATCCTTCCGAGTCCCTCGGAAGGTCAAAGAGTCCTGTTTCGTCTGATTGAAGATCCTTAAATGGAAACCTAAATCCACCACATCGAATTAAATAGTGAACGTAGAGTTCAAACGAAGGACCTTTTTCTATTTCACTGCCAGCTTTGACAAGTCGCTTCAACACGTCGATCCAAGTCTGATCTCGTAACTTCATGATGATCCGCGATCGAACATAAGGAGATGCCCATACCAGGTGGAAGTCGAGGTGGTCAGAAGTGGGGACTCTATGGAGTAAACAACTACCCGCTTCATCTCCTTCTCTAAAGAGGGTTGAAAGATTTCTTGGGAGCCAGGGTACGCCAATGGCATCATTGACACACTGAAACGCAGAGTCTCTAGCACCCTTAATATCTCCTTGATTCTTGAATAGTTCTTTGGCTGGAGCCTGTAGGACCTGTCTTGGCACTCCCCCCAACTTGTAAAAAAGCTCCTCCAAAAATTCTTCATCCACTGGATGAAAAAACTTTACATTGGCTCTACATTCCTTAAGCTCGTCCAAACTAGTACAATCGTATCAGTGTTACTTGGCGTCACAGACGATGATTATTGGTCTTTAAGATCTTTGAGATATAGAGATATAGAAGCCTAGCTATGGAAGTAGAAGTTGGCTTTGACTATATATAGTCAACATTAGTAATAAAGAGAAAGCAGAGGCAGGGATGCCGAGCATTTACTGAATTATTAAAGTACATGGCCGCTTTGCGAGACAAGATCAGACAAATAAAGTTAATCTGTCAACTGTTCGTGGTATTAAGCGTGTCTTTAGGGATGATGCAGAAGGTTCTCTGAGAATTGAATGAGAATGAGAATGGCAATGGCAATGGTAATGGTAATGGCAATGGTAATGGTAGTGCGAAAAGAGAAGAAGCCTGTTATGCATGCAGATGATTGTGGATTTTTTTAAGCCTGCATGCTTTCTCTTCAGGTTGGCGCTGTTTGTGCAATAGGTTTGTGCTGTTTTCAGAACAGGTTCGCGCTGTTTTAGAAAAGGTTTGTGCTGTTTCAGAACAGGTTCATGCTGTTTCACAACAGGTTCGCGCTGTTTGGGCAATCAGCTTGTGCTGTTTGGGCAATAGGTTTGTGCTCGTTTTCTTCCAGCACGTGCTGGAAACCAAAACATCACGCCCTTTCTCTTCAGGCTCAGATCTCTGGATTCAGGATCAACTTTATAGTGCTTTGCGGCTTGAACAACAACAATATTATTAAGTCCATTCTCAATACGCGCGTCTTCAAAGACTAGAGTTAACGTACAAATGTCCAGCTTTTTCTTTATTATATGCTCTCAAGCAATGAACTAGACTTTATAATATAATTGCAACACTTACCTCGAAATCAAATTCATGGCCAGCCAGGATATCTACTTGATCATTGTCCCCTTTTTCTCCATCGTCATCTTCTCTTTCTTCACTGTCATCCTCTCTATCCTTCCCAGAGTTTGACGCGTCAAGGGCTTTTCTCTAAAGCATAATTATTGCTTAGATATCATCAAGGAAAGCATTGATACAGAAAATTATTATTATATATATATTATTCGTGTTTGAACACTTAGAATATCTTCAAATCCACCGATCAATATCTTTTCAATTTGATTGATGGCGAGAACATCATCGATAGGAGCATCAGTAACAGCTTCTTGTCCTTGGAATGAGGTATTAGACACAGTGCTCCTATTCGAACTGAAATTTTGTCAATTATGATGTTTCAGATTAAAAAAATAAATATCAATTGACAAAATTTCAGTTCGAATAGGAGCACTGATTAGACATGTTCATAGTGGGATGAATGTAAGGTGAAGAGTGGATGTGCACACTTTCGATTGTGTGGTGAAAACAAGAGAGTTAAAGAGACGAATAGTGTTTGTGTATTTAAATAATACATGTTACGTCACACTTGGGGGCCAATTCAATCTTTAATCGCATGGCGTCTTGTGCAACAAGAAAAAAAAATTTCTCACAGACACACACAGCATAGCCCAACCTTGAAATAAAGGAACAGATTTATCAATTGTCGCTCCTTTCTTTAACTTGCTTCACTTCATTTTTGCACTCTCCTCTTCCTTTTCTTCCTTTATCCTCTTTTCACTTTTTTCTTATTTCCCCCCAGTTTTGCTCCCATCAATTTTGCTCTTTTATTTATTCCAAGCCTTCATTCATTGCCTTTCCTTTCCTTTCCTTTCCTTTCCTTTCCTTTCCTTTCCTTTCCTTTTTTTTTTCTTTTTTTCTTTTCCTCCCTCAACTTCATCTCTAGACAATTTTGAACCATCCTGCTACTGAATTATCATCCTTTAGCATTTTTATCAACCTTTCCCTATTTTCTGTCCTCTGTCTATTTACGCCCTTGTTTTTAAACAGGTTTGAAAACACAATGGGAAGCAGCAGAACACCATCACGATGCCCATCACCTCGAACTGAACCGTATGAAAAGAAAGAAAGAAAAGGGGAAGCGAAGGAAGAGTCTTCAAGCACCAATGACCCTAAAATCCTCGAGCCAACCGAGCTAAAGATTTTTTGTATTGTTGATGGAGAAGCAACTTCTTTTTCTGTAAAGATTCTTTCCAATTGTTCAGTCGATGAACTCAAGCAAGTCATCAAGGCAGCGAAGAAAAATGCATTTAAGGATATTGACGCTGACCAGCTCACCCTCTACAGGGTCTCTATTCCTGACGAAGACAAGATCGTCGTTGAGTCAGAAATCGAGTCAAAAGAGGCTCTTACAGTCGCGTCAAGGAAGCTTAGGGACATATTTATTTCCGAACTTCCAGAGGAAACGATCCAGGTTTTTGTCAAGCCACCGCAGCGAGGTATGTATTTAGCTCTTGATGGACTGATGATATTTCAATTGTTCAATTGATGAAGCTATCTCATCACGGTCACGTGTATCCCTCCCTTTTTTATGTTGTTGAGATGAATCTCGGCAACACTATTTAACTGGGGCGACTTTGGATTTCATCTCTATAAAAGAATTTGAAAAGTCGCCCCTCCATGCTCCGTGCACATCCTCAGACTCTCACTGTTGTCTGAGAACACAGTTTTCATTTTTATTTTTATTTTTATTTGACCTGTTTACATTGATGCATTTGTTAGTTTTTCTGATTGAATCTGTTTCGCGTTTCGCACACATGCTCTGACTCTCCATTAGCTGGCGTTCATATCTCATTGACAGCAATATATTCTTTGATCTGATCAAAATGCTAACATTTCTGCCATTGCCGCGCTCTCTTATCTTTCTAGAGTCATCGGAACAGATTCTCAAGAGAAAAATGGACGAAGGTAATAATTTGTTTTTTGCTGTATAAATAGATTGACTTGATGACTGGCTATATGTTATGGTACTAACCAACTGTGTATGTGTACGATGATCATAATTAGATCCACAGTATATTTCACCTTCAAAGAAGATACGCATTGAGGAAGGGTGGAGAGAATACAGAGCTTCTGATGGCAAAATGGTCACGTTACCACCCTCTTGGATCGCAATGCTGGAGAATCCTGAAGACCCGCCCGATGCACGTAATAAGTTTAATCATCTGAAAAGCGATAATCAGCTTGGTGATCAAGTTCACATTCCATCCTTGGGCCTCACACCGAAAGAATTTGAGGAATATAATTCGGGATTTATAATTACGGATCAGATGCTAGAATTGTGGAAGGAGATTAGTGCTGAACAAAGGTTTTCATTTCGGCGAGTCCTTTCTGGTCCTATGGGGGTTGGCAAGTCATATCTATCCTATTTCCTTGCTGCAAAAGGATATGCGAAAGGGTGGCTTACCCTTTATATACCAGATGCCGCGATATTAAATGAAAGTTCGGATACAAAATCGGCAAAGGCACTGTTAAGGCGCTTCTTCGCTTTCAACAGGGATATCTTGACGGCATCTGATCTGGAAAGTCTCCTCGACTTTTCTGAAGTTATAGATTGCTCAATTGTGGCTGCTCGCGCAGTATTCGACCTATTCAAGCAGGAGGAGCGTAAAACATTGCTCATTATCGACGAACATGGAGAGTTATTCCGAAAAGAGCCGTATGTGCCGGATAAATACCCGTTCCTGAAGCATCTAATGAACCTTAATCTATGGCAGTCTCATTACAAAGGATCTAGAGTGATATTTACAGGAACAGCCCATGCCAAATATGAATTGCAGATTATGGAAGACAGTGCTCGAGCTATCTTATTGTACTTTGTTGGCCCACTATCCGAGACAGTGTTTTCAAAATGGTTGGAGGTCCACCTGAACCAACCCGATATTGTCCAGGATATAATGAGGATTACAAACCGTGTGCCGCGAGAGTTTATGCGCCTCATTCGATCAATTAAGGAAAGACCACTCACAAGAGATAGCATTGATGGGTATGTAGCTCAGAGAACAAGCGAGCTTCGCCCTGTAGTTTGGAATTACTACGAAGCTCTCAGCGATGAATCGAAGAAGGAGTTCGCTAAAAGCCTTGCAACAGTCTTCCTTGGCAACAACTCGGAGAGTGGTGATTTTGAATGGGATTTCCGTGACCTAGGGCTTATCTATCGTCTCAACAAGAACCGCGGAGCCATAAACTATGTCTTGTGCCTCCCAGCGCAGAAAGCACTCTTTCAGGCGTTTACAAACATACCTCATCATGAGCATATTCTGAGGCAAGTTAGTCTTGGAGAGGTAGGTGATGATTTTAAGTTGACACTGTTGGTCCGGTTTTTGACTTTAACCAAGTTAATCGTTCTCAGAGCAACAAACCTTGTCGGCAAGGATCCAACGCAGATTATAATGGACTTTAAGGATCATGGGACAATCCATCAAAACATGACTTCTCTTGGACGTGGCTATGGACATGTACTGAGCCATTGTCATTCGAGTTATCCTCGCTTTGATTTCATACTCGACACAATGTTTATCCAGGTGTCCATAAGTGATTTCTGCGACCACGAGCAGAAACAAACTAAGCAGATCCAGAACGCTTTTGATAAGAGAGATTCCAACGGCAAAAATCAGATTGAAAGATATTTGGACGAAGTATTTGGAAGCAATCATTCCGCCTTAATTGACGATGGACATTTTGTTGTCAAAAAGGATGGAGAGCCAGTAACTGGATTTAAAATAGTTTACATGCGTGGTTCCCCTGGTACACCAAACCACACTGGATTAATCAGAAAGTACAAAGATCTTCTTCATGTCAGCTTCGACGAGCTCAAAGAGAAACTTTTTAGAAATATCCCAACTTAGAATTTTCGTCACAGTATACAGTAATAATATAGTTCTTAATCCTATAAAAAGGCTTGTCATAGAAATTTAATAACACGGTTCTTTATTTTTGAGATGTATCACGGCTAAAATATTTAACTGGGGGCGACTTTGGATTTCATCTCTATAAAAGAATTTGAAAAGTCGCCCTCCATGCTCCGTGCGCGCCACAGAGAGGTCACTCGCTTGTTAAGGCGACTGTTCTATGCTTGTTGGTTTTCCAAATCTGCTTTGATTGCACCATAATTTAGCGGAACTGATTAGCATCCCCTGAATAGCTGCCATCCAAAGGGACTAACTTCGAATGGACAGGATTTACTGTGTTGTTCAAAACAATAAAGCTTGACTGAAAGTCTGCTAATCCTCAAACTATGAGGCAAATAATGCCTCTGAACGCTTCAATAGGATTATGGCGAGCTTTTGGGGTGCAGAAAAGACAAGATTGTCTCTTTTGAGCAATGAAGGATATAGGATTTGTTCCTTGGAGCAGTGATCTAAGCTGGAAGCGAAGCAGCAGCGATTTTTGAGAACAAGCACGTGCTGGTTAATTTTTTCAGCATGCTGGTTCGTTTTTCCAGCATGCTGGTTTATTTTTCCAGCATGCTGGTTCGATATTTCAGCATACTTGTTAAAATTTATTAAAATTTTTAACTTGTATAACCAAGTGCTCCTCCATGCACTGCTACCTCAGACATCATTCGCATTTATTTTAGAATCTCGAGCATCAATAAAAGCTTGATTACTCACAGCTACAGAATGGATAATCCTCATTCAAACATTTGTCAGTTTTGTATATGCACATGCCTAAAAAAAGATGTCAGCCATAGTTTGGCATCTGTTTTAGAAATTAAGCGTTGCCATAGAAGTCCTTTATTTTAATAAAAAAGTTAGCTGCTACTGCTACAACTCTGTAATTTTTTCAGGGCAGAGACAAAGCTGTGATAAAATATGATGTTACGGAAGTTTTGATTGGTCATTCGGTTTCTGCGTGCAGACAGGATCCATCCGGCTCTGCTGAATAACCTTTCAGAATCATTGGAAGTAGCCTGGACAGAAAGGTATGCTCGTGCAAATGGAGCAATAT